ATTAAAATTTCAATTTCCTAATCAGCAGATTCTTTAATCCTTATACATACATTCGAGTGTTTAAATAGTACTCAGGAATTTAAATACCCGGTGATATATTTGCCGAGGCTTTTACGTATCATTGAACGTAAGAATTACCGGCCTAGAGAACTGAGTAACGAACTAATACACAAAGAGCATAATTTTCATCTCTCCCGAGCTCTCAATTAAGCCCTCGGCGGCTATAAGCGTACGGTGAATCATGCGAGAATCGGAATGCCAAATCGAGCGATTGTCATAGCTCGTTTAGAGCCCACCGAGACTTTTAGCCTGGCTTAATTAACGAGGTCGATGGAAGAGAACCAACACCAATAAGTGCTGGAACGCTAATAATTCCCGTTCCAACAATCCCCACCGCGACGGTCGCATTATGAAACATGTCGGTTGTCTTCAATTATCCAAGAATGTCATTAACGATGACGACAATGGCGGATCGATGTAACTTCACCGACGTTTCGGTTAACCGGTATGGAATCAGCAAACATTTATAATTATTTCGAAGCGTTAATCAGCGGATTATGCTTCGAAGCTATTTTATAGCTTCGAAAAACTGGTCCTGTAATCCGGTTATCTTATCGATGATCAATTTCTTTTCAGCGCCAGACGGGAGTTTCCTTTACAACGTTTCGAACGCGACCGCGATGTGTCAGAGTGATGCGACAAAGTGGCGAAAAAGTCGATTCGTTCTCTTCTCCCCCGGGCTCTGAATTAGTGTCTTTGCTCGCAGAAGATGCGGACGCCATCACGACACGCCGGAACGACACGACGAACAGCACGAGCGGCTCACCCGCTCGCTCGCTCACGATACGCAAAGGAGGCCCCGCTTTTAATGCGTGCGTGTCGGTGCGTAAGTGAGAGGCGGAGCCGTGCCTCGACGGAGGTCATAGGGCAATACCAATCACAGCCCCGTGATAACCATTCCCCTGCCATGCGTCCCGCGGATGCGTGCGCGAGTGCGTGCGTGCGAGTATGCGAGCGCGAACGCAGGCGTGCGTCATAGTTGCAAAACTAATTATTTCTCGCGGCACTCTTGTTGCCGTCGCTCGTATCCCGTCGAACTTGGCGATTTTCAGGGAGAGGAGGCGGGGAAGGAGGAGGGAGATCGACGTAATCGAGTTTGCATACGATTTGCCGAAGATGCCGGACTCTTTGCTCGGGGAAACGGGAACGGAGACTCATTCCCGCGCGCTTCCAGGAAGTTCAAAGTTTCCACCGCTGAATCGCGGATTTGACTGATTATTGACGGCTCCGCTCCGGAACTGTCACGTTTGCTCTGCCGCATTGCCGATTGCAGCTGTCCGATAAGAGCGGCTCGCCGTTGCTCCTCTCGCTATCTAGCTAGCGCCGCATCTGGCGCTAAACACGTCCTGTCGGATTAGCAATTTTATCTGCTCGCTACGAAGATTTCCTCCGCGTTGCTGCTCGAGAAGCCGATAACTGTGCAATCGCATTTAGCGCTGGACGCGACGACACGAGTCTCAGCTTGCGATAATACATGGAACGCGCTCATCGCGTTAGATAAACTGTTGGTACAGTTGTTTCTTCCCTCATTATATACAGAGTGTTCCAGGAGAAAAGGTCAATATTTTGGGAGGTGAAATGATCGATCATTTTAAGCAAAAATGTTTATATGAATATATGTCCCATTCACTATTGTTTCCGAGACAGAGCTATTTGAATGTACAGTTGCAAAATTACTGACAAGAAAGAAATACTACGTACTATTCTAATATTTATTGTTCGCGCGATATACTTTTTACAGATCATAATAAATTTTCAAAAATTCCATCGTTTAACAACAATGCATTTTCAACTCTTGTGTGAACATAGCGTGTTGCTCGTCTGAGTACATCGTGACGTTTTGAGCATTTCTACGATGTTATCAGTACAACAGTCAATAGACGTATAAGAATAAATTCCCGTATACGTTTATGAGGTTGGGTGAAGAGTGAAGTGTACAGAAAAAAAGTAATTACACGAGACATTCGAGTAGTTCTATCTCGGAAACAGTGGGAAATGGGACATATATGAACATTTTTGCTTAAAATGACCGATACTATCACCTCTCAGAATATTGACCTTTCCTCCTGGAACACCCTGTATACATATGTATGTGTGTTCATGGAAGATACGATTTAAACATTTCAAACATAAAAGCAGAATTTACGAGAAAGCAACAAATCGCTTGAAATAGATAAGAATCCAAAGTTTTTATCTAATCAGATACTTTTCTTTTTCGAAAAGTCTCATGTTAAGAAAATTAAACCTGTCTAAAGATTTATATCGAAGAAATGAAATCTCCTGTCCAAATATTAATTTTTCTCAACTTTCGGCATATTGTGCTGATTTTTCCAGAAGTATACTTCACGTAAAATTAATCAAAAACGTGTTGCATTTGTCAAACGTAATTTTTAAGCACGTGTTTAATCTTCTAGAAAATAGACGTAATTTTGTACGCGATACATGCAGATCTCCTGCGGTCGCAGAGAATTCGCTCGCGTGGTTAGCGAGGAAAAGGAAACTCGCACACAGAAATGGACGGTGATACATCACCGGGATCAATCCAATCGCATTTTCTCCAGAGTCAACCGTCGGCGCGCGTCGTGTCACGACTCGCATAATCGTACGATTTGTACGCGTCGCTGTTGCCGCCTACCCCGAGAGGTGGGGTGTTCTCTTCGAACACTTGTCCTCGTTGTCTTAAACATGAAATTCGCTCGCGCGATTTTAAATGCGGATGAAAGAGATGCAGCGTGATTGCACTATTTTATGGAAAAAGATGAAAGTCTTTGAGGATTTTGTCGAACTGAAAACTCGCATAATTACAGCTATTGTAATTTACTCATTGAGAAGATTAAACGATATTTCTTCAAAATAATGTTTATAAAGTGGGAAATTTTACCTTTGCGTGTTGTGTTTGTCGATGTAATCAATCTTATTGAAACTTTATTGTGATTTTCATCGACAAAAAAGTTTCTATGCATTTATTACTTACACAGAAATATAAAAATCATTTTTTCACGGTACCTTTGAAAATCCAAGTTTGAATTTGTAATATAATGCTAGAAATAAAAAATACATACAGGGTGAATATTAATGGCTGCACAAACTTTTTACTATAAGAGATGGATTACCGACCGCAACTGTAACTAAACCTGGAAAAAATAAAAATAATTTCGTTATATATCTCTCAATCATGTAATATCTAATTATATCTCTCGAGATACAATTAGATATTACATGATTGAGACATATACATGTATAACGAAATTTGTTCCATTTTTGCTAATTTCGGTCGGTAATCCGTCTCTTATGGTAAAAGGTTGGTGCACCATTAATATTTATATCCTGTATAAAGTACAATATAAGTACAATACATCAAAATATGTTTTAATTTCATATTACTTAATAACTTAATATTGTAGTTTAATTAAATCATGTTACACGATATAAAAAGAGGTGATATTACGTCCAATATTGTCTTAGAACCAGATGGGATACGTATCTTTTCATCATGTGAATTATGAAGTTATTTTCTCTTTAATTTGCGACAATCTTGCTATTTTTATATAATTTTATAATTACACTATTACCGAACAAATTACCAAACTCCGAGGTTACATCTCCGCCAATGCAGCTCCAGGCTAAAAATAGTAAACCATAAAATTGCCATGCAGGGATACGTACGAACCGCTTACGAGAGAGTTAAAATAAAAAACAATTTATTAACGACATAATTACAATAGTATATTCTGCGTGTGGAAAGCAATGTTTCTCTCTTTTTTTATATATCGTTTTTTATTTTATCTCGGACCATTCGACAATAATTCCTCGATTTAATCACAAGCCTACTATAAAATATCCGCACTCGATATACCTCGTCCGTCATGCGTCCGCGTGTGTGGTTCATGTTGTGGTCTTCCCTGCTTCGTCCCCGAAACGAATAGCCGACGATTTGTGTGTAATCGTTTCTAAATAATAGACGGCAAACGCCACATACAACGGAACGGCCAGACATCGTGTTACAAATTTATGCGACAAAATCTTCTCCCATCAATAGAGTGCAATAATACGTCCGTCTTTACGCTTTATGTTTGTCGTGAACGAGAAATAAACTCTTGAAGTTTTCTAAAAGAAAGAATGTGACAATATTTAGTTTTTTAAGAGGATAATTTATAAAGCAATAATCTAACAATGGAATCTTTAAAAAATTTTCTAGATTATTAAATCTGAGTAAATTTTTATTTATGGTAAATATTAAAGAACTCGTTTGAAGAGTAAATTAATATTGATTAATAATAATGATAAATTTAAATTAAATAAGCATTCAACTGTTTTATAGATTATTTCATAATTTATATAAATATAAATATATATATTTATTTATTTATTTAAAGCAAGCGTTTATTTTCAGAAAATGGGACTCTATTTCTTTGTTATATTAAAAATTCAAGACGAGCAGCATCATTGCACTCACATGTACCACGACAATGTTATCTAGTCACCGTAGATTTACGACGCGCGGGACTGGCCATGTCTAAGAGTTCACTATCGCTACGCTTGAACGGGATTAATCATGAAGAACTTCTACTTAATAACGCTATACTAAATCCGGCTTATAAAATTCGGCTAAATCGCTGTACAAAACAATGAAATGAATCAAGCCGCGCTGTTACGGAACATTCGCGCGGTTACAGTGACAGATAACACTCGTATCTCCGAATAAAAATTTTGTTTGGCTTACACGATTGTCGCAACACACGTACTCGTTTTCGTTACTCCCGAGCGAAGATGCGCTGATATTATTTCGGTTCTTCGGCAATACGCATCGGGACGATATTAAGTGGCTCACACGCGACCTAACGGTTTGCGTAGAACACGGATGAGACGCAATGAAACGCGACAGTACGATAGAATAAAATGTAAGGAAAAGGTTAAGTTCTGAAAAAATAATCGCGACGTCGAGTTTAGATGTCGGTTTTTTATGTTGAACACAAGCTGTCTGCTTATGATACAAATCTGATGTAATTCTAATATTTTCTATAGATATTTTTCTACAATCATCGTAGTCCAAATAAACACAATAGCTATTTGATATTTATAATTAATAACTTAGCAGAAGTTACATATTTAAACCGTAGAAATTTAACTTGCGCTAATTTAAATATGTAATTTACGCTAAGTCATTAACTAAAAATTTTTAACTTTCTCATTGCTTTCTGTTGAAAGTCCAGAAAAAGTTCTTTCAAAAATTCTCTTTTGTAATTTATTATATCATTCTCAATTCAAATACGGGAACGCTTTCTTCTTAGGCTTCGTCACGCCTCAATCCGCAGTTCTAGATCTTGCGCGTTGTAAAATGATAAGCGCAACGAAATATTTATCCAAGAGCACTCTCTTTGCGCAAATCGTTATTTCGCGCACGGGGCAATCGAAGGATCGTCATCGCGCGTGATCCTCCTTGATCCCGGATGAGCAATGTGCAGAATACAATAGATTCCATGATAAACGAGTCATCCGAAGAGCGACTTTTATATCATCAAATTGGCGACACTAATCTTTGCAGTTTTAGATGCTCAAAAAACGTGTAATTTTAATAAAACAGTTTTTTATCGTTTGAGATTAAATTGCAACAGCGAAATATGTAATACATTGCCAACATTGTATTAACACAATATTAACACAATGTACATCGCCGGTTCGTTTTGAAATTCACCTGCTCCAGATTAGTGCGTCCATCAAAGTTTATTTTTAGCAAAATATGAATTCTGTCTATGTCTGGAAACAGGAGACAATAAAAGAATTGAATCTCAGCCAACTTTGTCTAATATTAAGAGAATGGTTTTGTATCACTTATTTCATTCATGATTATTTTTATAGACCGTGTTAATACTCGATACTAATTATGTATTCTTCAGTGGAAAGAGCTTCATCTTTGTGAAAGAATTTCGTGTCTCTCTCGACAGGTTTCAGCAAAAGTCTTTCTAAAATAATCATGCGCCAATTTCCACCGGTGATATCAATATTTGTAATTTTGAAACATTACTCATCCAGGCATAAAACGTATCGATATTAAACAACCGAAAAGACGGTTCCTCTTGATATTTGAACGCCAAAAAATAATTGTTCCGCTTTGATACATGCGGCCGATATACGTGCGTGTGCGTGTGATTAATCGTATATGTATAATATTACATAATCCGAGAATCCTACGTATCGTGACAGAAAGGAATCACATAAACGGACTCGAAAAGATGACAGCTACGACGAGAGAGACTGAAGACGCGAATGTAGGAAGCAAAACCTTCGGACATGTGATCATCGAAAGCGATTTCTATTCGACGAGAGAAACGACAAAAGGAAAAAGAAGAGAATAATAAAAGAGTTCCTCGCCGAAAAAAAGTAACTTAATAACTAATTAGTACGAATTAGCTAGGAGAGATCTATCGCGGTTTCTTTCATTTAAATTAACCGTAAAATTAACAACTAATCAGTATTCGTACAATGATAAGAACACTAGCGTAAACACGAGAAAAAACGTGAGATTGGATGATATACCGTACGTTTAACACACCCGTAATGCGATTCATCATGCGCGATATACAATAATAAAAAGTCGAGGATGGCAGTACAGCGGTAACCAATTAAACACCGGAGCTCAAACTGCCTTGCTCTTAATAATATTTAGTTGCCTCGTCAGTATTTACAGTGTACATCGACAATCAAATACCGTTAAGTCTACTTAGAGATTTCCCTCTCACGTGCCCTCAGAATTACGTTTTACATCAAATGTGTAATAACTCGATACGTGCGTACATACATCTCGTCACCACTCTCCGCTATATTATAATACGTTCGTTCCCTCTCTCGCTTTCGGAAAAAAATAAGAGAAAAATGTACACCCACCTGACTTCGAATTCGGAGCACACCTATAATTCAACACCTAAATTTAGCGCATATTACACTTCCTTCTCTCTTTGCTAAAAGGTATCTCTATGTATATATATATATATACTTTTTTACATATATACTTATATTATTTATATATGCACTGTTCCAGGGCACCGAAACTTGTTGCGTCAAAGGCATCTCGTGGCTATTGTTGTATCATTTATTTAGACTTTCTCTTTAAATAAATAAATTGCGATCGCTTCTTCGTTTTTATTTTCCTTTCTTTACTTAGTAGCATGGACGTCAGAGCATCTGTACTCAATGGCGACAAAGAGAGACTAAAAGTATTCCGTAGCTCCCTAACTTTCCCGCTTACGTTACACTCGTCGTCAATTTAACTCCTAGCATAGTGCAGAAAATAGTTCTCCTTTCTTTTTTCTACTAGCTTTATTTGCGAGTGATTTTCTTTTCTTTTTTTCTCTTTGTTTAAATTACTGGCTTATAACTGGTAGTACACCGTAATCTAGGCGCTCTCTGCTTTATTTAAACTACCTGGAGACTTCATTCAGTAAACGGCGTTAAGATACATACGCAGGCGGAGTAGTCGTACGAAACTAATCTCTTCGTCGAATGTACAGCGTGATTGCGTGATTATTAAGTGGAGACACGCCGGAACGTTACGTGGAAGGAGCGTTGAGAAAATTTCTTTTTTTTTTATACATGTACTATGTATATTATCCAAAACGCAATTACGTTTCAAATGCGTACGCGTGCATTTCCTTTGTTTCATGTATAGGTACTTCTGTGTGTATGTATGTTTGTTATCTTAAGTGTTACCTAGTCTTTATCGTTATTACGCTATTTTATTACCAAGGTGCCCTGGTTGTCAGCAAAACTACGAAATATATATCGTAAAATTGTTCACAGTGCAATCGAAAGAAAAGGTATCCGGTTCCATCGAGTGTTAAAATACACGGGCGTGCGTGCACGATTTTCTACACATCGTCGCAACACACCGCCTCATTTCCTTATCGTTTTTCATCGAAGAAGTGGCATGTCTGGCTCATCTCTTTCGTTTAAACGTACGGATTTGTTGGGCTGTCTGTTAGGAACCTTAATAAGGCAACGAAGGAGCCCTGAATCTTACAAGTGTAATCTTTCTTTCTCCCTTCTTACGCCTTTTTACGGTATCTTTTAAAGCCTAGCATCCTTTATCGTGTATTCAGACACGGCTAAATGTTTATTATTGCCTTACAAGAGAAAGAGAGAGAAATAAAAAAGAAAGGGAGAGAGACTCGGTACCGAAGGTGTATCATTACACAATGCTGAAGTCGTGTAATGATAAAACATGGAAAATACTATATATATTATTGTTTTACATATGAAAAGCTTCGCGCGTACGTCATTAATTCTGTCAATAATTCCCGTAGTTTCGCGAACGGACCTAAGCTCTCAAAAGTAGCGCAAAAATACATAATATTATAAAATTCCATCGCAACAACTTTTAAATTTTCAAGACATATCGAAATACGATTAATCACATATATATATACACAACATTAATAAAAGCGTAGCATCCGCTAACAGACAAAAAGGTCCGAGGATAGCAGATATTTTCAACAACTTCATATATCACAGAGAGTGTCAATTATAAATACAACGTTTGAACAGAGAAAAAGAGAGAGCTTGATTCGAGAGCTTAGCCGAGCGTTCGACAAATTGTATTTCGTGCGATAAAATTTGGTTGAGACGCGCGTCGCGTAGGTAAACAAGAAGTACGTGAGGATCACGGGACCGAGGCTCTCTCCAATCGTTTCTGTTTAATACCATTACCACAGAGAGCTTATTATGCTACGCTTCGCACAAAACGCCTCCTCCGCGGCACGACAAGATTAATGAATTTAATGCTTCTCGACGGGGACACATACGAGGATCACCGTGAGTCACGCAACGAAAGACTTCGCTCGCATCGCCTTATCGCGCGTTATCGGCGCACGCGTTGAGGCGTGCGGTATTCGTGTATTGTGCACCTTTATCGCCTATACTCTCCCACATCCGCCCGCCTGTCCGCTTGGTTGACTCGTCGTCGCCCCGCACGCGACTGTCGATATCCGTGATTGACACCGCGCGTATTCATGACAATCCGTGGTCATCACGTATATACAAATAAGAATGACTTGTGTCCGATACTTGAACCGCGCTCAAGAGACAGGTCAACCGTCCGTCGTACGCGACACCATTGCCGTCGACGACGGCGGATGAGGATGATGTACCAAGGCCGGAATTTCGATCACGTCAGCTGGCTGCTGATTGACGACGGCGCTGTTGATCGTGCAGGAAGTGAGGGGTTGCTATTTCTTGGTCGGTGTGCCTCGTTGTGTCAGACCCTCGAAGCGCTTGAAGGTGTAATTAATAAATACCCAGTCCTTGTATATTACCTCGCCGTCCTGTGGCATCGGCGCGGACGCTGTAACGAGGCAAAAACGTGCGTTTTAGAAGCTGCTGGATGCAATGACAATAACACAGGAAAAAAGTATACGTACGTATCTCTAATTTCACGTCTGGAAATTCGTCGAAGTTCGACGTGTCGTCGATGGAACGCACCTCGACCGGTATGGCGGCTGGTCTTTCCCTGATGTGCTCCCAATCGACACCGCGGAAGAAGGGCGCTAACTTGAGCTCCTCGATGCCTCTTTGCGCCCCTACGAGACAAGCGTCGCGATAAAGATTAGTTTCCCCAATTAGATTTATCTCCGTGAAAGACATTCTTTTTATCTTAATTCCGAAATAGAAATTTACCTAATCTTCTATCGGCTTCGCAGCAAAATCTGATAATGGTATCTTTAGCCTCTTCGCTAATGGGAACTTCCGGCGGGAAGACTAACGTTTCTCGCCAATTCATTACTTTTCTATACGTCTCCTGTGGATTCTCACTACAGAATGGTGGATATCCTGAAATAGTTATGTCATTATTAACTAGTATCTTTAATATAGATTAATTTTCAAAACGTTTATTACATCAATGTTTAGCCTTTAAAGTTATCTTGCGATCAATATTACTACACGTTTGTATATAATGTGTAATAATACACTTACATTAGAGTAATACATAACAAAGAAGTGCTTTTATGTGCTAAAAGAGTAACTTTTGAAACAACTAAGACTAATTAATAAATGAATACAAGGGCAATTATGTAGCTATTATTTCTTAAACAATTGATTAATTACGAATAAATTTAAAGACAATACGCAAGGCATCGTACCTATAAGCATCTCGTACATGATAACTCCCAGGGACCAACAATCGCAAGCCGGTCCGTAACCTGTTTGCAGAAACACTTCCGGTGCGATGTAATCCGGAGTGCCTACCGTGCTGTAAGCCAGCGCTCTCCTGTTCCTTTTCCAGCTCTCGGCTCTCCTTTTGCTGTCCATCGCGCCGCCGCTTCCACTCCCGCATGATGTCACTGTGTAAGAAACAGAGGCATCAGTTAGATCATAAACCAACAATTACGTAAACGTTTCTCTTTGACACGTGCGAGACACGTCGTCGTCACTTACTGAAATCGGAAGGTTTCGCTTGACTCAGGTCTCGGTAGAAATCGGTCCTGTGTGATTTCTTCAAACCCGTGCACAGCCCAAAATCAGAAAGTTTTATGTGGCCCCGTGCATCCAGCAACAGGTTGTCCGGCTTGATGTCTCTGCAAAATACAGATAAATTAATACAAGCAATTGTTTATTGTATAACGTATATAAAAATTACATAATTAAATGCAGATAAAATTATAGAATTCAAAAGCTCAAAGCATTCGATTATACCTTGAATTAAAAAATGTACCACGAAACGACACCCGCAAATATATTTAACGCAGAAAAGACTTTAAAAAGTCTGAAATGAATGACTTGTGATACAGCTGAGTTTCATTTAATCACTTTAACGCAATTTCATTACTCGTTAAAAAGCGGAGCCGCACAAACGTACCTATGAATAAAACCTAATTTGTGTATGGAATCGATCGCTAACGCCGTTTCGGAAATATAAAATTGCGTGCACTCCTCGGAAAGCGTGTCCTTCTTCATGAGCAGCGTCATCATGTCACCTGAAATTCATCCCGCTCGAGTTATTCGCGACGCTCAAGGAGGCGCTTCCCTTTTTTTTCAGCCCTCGGTCACGAGGATCGATAACAGGGACTTACCGCCGGGAAGAAACTCCATTATTAGATAGAGATTTATAGGATCCTGGAAACTGTAGTACATCTTTACGACCCACTGATGGTCCGCTTCCACGAGAACGTCCCTCTCCGCTCTGACGTGCGCGACTTGCTCCTTCTCAAGCATATCCGCCTTCCGGAGGATCTTCATCGCGTACACGTGTCCAGTGTCCTTTTTCTGCACGAGTCTCACCTGTTCGTGCCACAGAACAGCGTGTATTGAGTGAGAATGCCGGCGGGCTTCCGTCGCGAGCGATTAAGAGCGTTCTCCCGTCCAATCTCGAACTTTACGAAAGGGATTCCACTTGCTCCGCGATGCGAGGCGAAACGCTACTTCTTCTGAGAAGTAATGAGAAAATTTCGCTCTCTCCTGGACGTGACTACCGCCTGAGAGAGAGAGCCTCTCGCGTATTTCCGTTATTATCGCAATTATTACAACCGTAAGCAGAGGTCGATCCTTGTTTTTAACGTTAAAGCGTCGTGAACAATTTACATATGGCACACATACGATGAGCATGTCATTTAAGATGTCATTTGTAAGAGAGCATTAAAAATTTATCCTCCTCGACAAAACGAGGACGTTCGATAATATCCGTTACCTAATATTCGCGTTTATGAAATTCGGATACCTGTTTGTTGTAACAAAAACGTATCACAAATATCAGAATGAAAAAAAAACTAAAAAACCAACCACCGACAAAATATAAAAATGCACGTACACTCTTAATCTTGTATCGCGTAGTACCGCCAAATTCGAGGTACACGTTAAAATAAAAATGTAGGTATGTACCGTGAATTTATAGACGGTACCTCGAGCGATACCTCCAACTGATCGTTGTACATTCATTATTACCTCATATATCTTGTACCTCGTGCTAATATAGCGGGAAAAATATCTTCTATCAGCATGTAACTCAAAGCTCAATTGTACTTAAAAAATTGTACCATCTTCCCTCGTATTTCAGTGGATTTTTATGTACCTCATAATTACGTATACTTTTTATTTTAACGTGTACCTCCAATTTTTGGCGATACACGCTTAAGGGTGTAAGACGTAATCGCATTTGAAGAAAGAGTCGCGTTATTTTCTTCCTTTAAAATTAACGCAAACTACTTGCGAACCGCGTGGAAAGGCGATAAATTATACGCCGATTACGACTCGTCGTTCTCATCACATCGCAGAAGAAGCCTCGTTCTACAATGCCTCGTATCAGGCCGTCAATCGAGCGCAATTAAACCAACGGCCCACTATCCCGACTCGTTCGTTCATTAGCCGTCATACATCGGCTATCGATCCTCACCTCGCCGAATGCTCCCCTGCCAATGACCTTGAGAGGCTCGAAATCCTCGACGCCGAGCCTGGACCGCTTCAGCCGGAGGAACTCGGTCTCCTTCTGGGCATGCTGCAGCCTCTTCTCCTGCTTCTGCTGCTCCGAGAGGCCCTCATCCTTGAGGGACTCCTCGAGCTTCGCCAGCCTCTGCTTCCGCTCGATGTGCTGCGCTATCAGATTGCTGTAGTAGTTCTCCAGCGTTACCTGGAAAAAGGCAAAATGCGAGACGCCCCGATTATCATCGCGCACAACCAAGCTCGCACGATCCTCTTCTTCCCGCGATATCGCTCGAGGGCTCGACGTAATGCGATCGATAACGTTTTTATCACGCGCACGACAAAACCACTTCCGCTGGTTACCCACGACCGGCGCGATTATTATGCTCCCCGAGATCGGGTTCGCGCTCGACGTCGCGAGACGTTTCGGAGCCGGCGTTACTTTTCGCCGGGGCAGCCGCGCGGAGACGGAGACTGGAACAAGTTCTGAAATTTTCTCTCGGCGAACTGCCACCTTTTCACATCGAAATTTCAACTGTGGGGGATGAAAATTCTATTTTAATTACATTTCCGTCTTCGGTTGGCGTAAATATTTGAGATTGTGATGCAAATTAAAATTCATGCTTCAAGAAAAGCGGACGCGAAGTAAGTGAAACGAAATGAAAGCGATATAAAAGACGGAGGAAGAGTCAGCATGTTTAATTATCCTCGTCAAACAGCACTTAAAAATTTTCTGTAAATACGTTATTAATTACGTAATTCGTGATCTCATTTCCGGAGCGTCGAATACCAGCGATTTTTTTGCAATTTTCTCCGTTTCTAGTTTCCTCGACTCTTTCGGGTTTTTCGCAGTTCTCCAAACCTGTAGCAACCCTCTTCACCCTAAAAGCTCGCGCAGACACGCTGACACGGGCAACTTTCTTGCAACGGTCAACAATTGTTGTTAACGAAATTGTCGAGCATTGTCGGCAGCGCCGACGAACGTTGAGTAATCGCGCGGTAATTAGTGTTACGCAGTAATTAATGAGAAGAATTGGCTAACTTTCGGTTAATTTTTTTTCCCAAGAAAGCATATGTGGTTATTAAGCAAGAAGCGTTTCAAATTGAGCGGAAACTTTCGCAATTCGACGAGCAATACGGCACGATTAATTCCGAGTATTAGTTCGCAACCAACATTTTATTTAAGCCTAATACTCTCAGAGCCGAGTAATAAGACAAAGAATTTTCTAATTGCCAATACATTTTTTCTAGCAATAAAACATTCACATATATATGTACACTTGCACTAGCCGAAATGTGTGTCCTTCGTGAAATGTAAATACGCATTTCTCTCAAAGTCTCGTGTTTCACGAGATTCACAGAAGTGGCATCGTAAATAGAAATTATCCGTACATTCGTAATTTTACTCGTCATAATACAGTCAACAGACGGAATTGCAAATTTATTACGTTATTAACTGTAATCCTGAATAGCGGCCGATAGATTAAATCCAACCACGCGGGATGATATAGAATATCGCAATGCCCATCTCTTGTTAAAACGGCGACCATTAATTAGCAACACAGTTCGTCGACATTACCTCTACGTACGCCGGTTAAAATTGTTCCGGCGTTGACCCACATTTCTCGCTCATACAAATGTACCTGGACATTCAAGGTTCTTCGCCGAGTAATGACAATTGAGAAGGCGCGAATATTAAATTATCAGCTATGATGTAATAACTCTTCCACCGACTTCTCTTACCGTTCTTTTAACCGGTTGACCGTACGGCAGGTCCGTGATCAGATTAAAGATTTGTTAAGATATGGGAGCTGTGTTCATGAAGTAGTTCAATCACTATACTACATTATGTAACGTGTTTGTCATACAAGTTCCCTCGCGTCGAAGTACGAAAGTTGGTGAGAAAGTTTAATCGGTTTACGTGCCCTTCGTCATCGAATATTTAAGGTACTGATGTATGTGTTTGCAGTGTTATTTAAATGCGAAAAAATTGAAGAGTCTTAGCAAAATGACAGATTCAAAAATGTATTAATTCAAAGAGACTACAATCGTACCGTCACTCAATCTTAAATAACACAAGCTTCTTATGAAATTATTGAATGTCTAATATTTTATTTGCGCGACAATTATTATCGTAAAGAAATATCTTCAAAATTAATTGGAACACACCATCTTGATACAATCGGGTCAAAGTTTTACGATATTCTGTATATTGAGTCATTTATTCCGAATGAATGCAGAGAGCTTATGATCCTATCTTAATGGAATAATCAGTTGAAACTAAATCCGAACTCACCTTGGCCTTGGTCGCTTTGTCCAACGTGTGGCCGCTAAATCGGATCGTGCTCTCGGTAGCCGCCATCTCCAGCACCCCTGCAACGAGCACAAGAAAAGGGGTCATTCAGTGTCATCAGTCTCCAGAGAGTTAATGTCTCCTAACGCAACTACACTCAATGAAAATGTCGCTTGAACGAATTAAAAGGCAAACGGCACCCTTGCAAAATTGACCAGATAATACGTTAAACGAACTTTAACGTCTCGAGCGAAATACCAGCTATTTTTGTACCACTGCAACAGACATTGTCAAAAAATAAATATATCTGTAATACTTAATATTTTTGTTTTGTAAACAGAAAAGTGGAAATATACGAGACATTCGTTGTAACTTGGAGCCATTTACATTCATGGTTCATGTTTTACATTTTCAGTGATACATTAAGTTTTATATTTTTCTGAAAATCCTACTAGCAGCTTAAATTTAAAATTCTATTTCATATATTTCTGTATTTTCTCCTGTAAGTACATATGTTTCGCATTTTAACAGAAACAAACTATTACGGAGCATTTGAAGACGTTTTGTCGTATCGATTTAGTTTCTTATACTTTACAAAGTAGTTCTGCTGACATTTTAGGGGAAAAAAAAGAAAATTTGATGAAACTAGAAACTTTTATCGTTATCACCATTATTGGAATATCGACGCTGAACACACTTAAGACACTCCATCTCCGATCGTCACGCTCGAGGTAAAGTTTTGTACGAAGAATTCGCCCTGCACTGCACGCGTTACACAATAATGTTACACTGCCAATGAACGTCGCTGTCTTTTTAGAGGCAAGAAAAAAACCGAAGTTACACCCACAAAAGATGACGGAGGATTATAAATGCGCATTATGAGCAAATTGTCCCGAGGCTATCGTAAGCTTGGACCGCATATTTCCATTCGAAGGCCGACGCGTGGAAAAAGTGAAAACGTCCGTCATATAATTATTTGAGCGATTTTAATGAGTCACCCTCTTCTGCAACATTAACTCTTTTTGTGACAGAGCGTGTGACGCCAACATTCAGTATGGCAAAATAAATATTCCGAGCACAACTCCCGAGAGATTTTCCATACCGAATAATTATACAAATCGTCTTGTGTTTTACGTTAGTAGTTTGTAAAAAAATTTTTTACTCTAAACGTAACTATAAAGAATTGGACACGAGTCTAGGCTCTGATAATTAGACTAGACTCTGACTATTAAATGTTTAAAACTTTAATTTTATATAAAAGCATACTGTATCTGTGTCTTATTTATCCTGGGATTGTTACAATGCAATTAATGTTAATAAAGTAATTACACAATTACGACTTAAGAAAATATTCCTATTAATTAATTATCCTACTACTAATAGTGATTATAATTTGACGAAAACAGCATATTCTTATATTTTTTATTTCATTGTTATTGGAGAAAACATATTATCAGACGTTTCAAATAAATATTATATGTTAATTAATCAGCCATTAATTGTAATGATAATTTTATGAAAATAGAAAATATTCTTACATCTTCCATTTCATTTCCATTAGAGAAAACTTACTATCGAGCACTTCACATGAATACTGTATATTGCGTTCCAAACGTGAGGAAAATCGGTGAAATATGTTTCATTGCGGTTCTATTTAACACGTTACGCATATAATACATTGTTTCTACACTAAACCACATTTTCCTTTGACACTTTCTACACTAACCCGTTTTCCTTTGCAATTCAGGATTAAGTGGCTGATGACAGGTGCTCAGGGCGACCCAATTACAACTTGCTGCTCCACAACAAAGTCCCTCGCGTGACTCAAAGGGATACTCGGATGAAAGGCCCTTTGTTAATTGTGCGTTTTATAATGCTGCATAATGTGCAGATACATTTACAACCGCGTGTAAAATATTTGAAATAACAACCGCCAACCGCACGAAGAGCTTTACAACAGATGTTAATTTGTAATTACGCTGTGATGCTATTATTCTAACTCGCCATATATCGCGGCTTTAAATAATGAAGAATTATGATCACATCTAGAACAGTTTAAAGTGAACAAAGTGAATAAGAAAGATGCGAGAGTTATCACATTTTATACGTAAAATTTCATATTTTGATAATCTTTTTCTACAAACGCTACCATTTCCGCTATTTAAAATTTTTTTTTCGAAAAGTCAGTTGTCAGGTTCACAGAGGTATCTTTTAACGCGATTAATGATATTAATATGTTATTGTACACACAGCTGTAATATTTTTTATGCTTTTGAAAGTAAAACGGCAAATAAGGTGTGTTAGTCAAGATATTTCGAAAAGAAACGCTTATGAAATTTGCAAAGAAATCTTTCAAGACAGGGCGAGTCCTCATTGAATATATTTAAAGCACCGGCGGAAGCATCATTACGTTATCAGCCTGACTGATGGAGCGACAAATCTCTCGTCCGGCTTAAAAGAACGGCACATTTCGCAACCGGACGACAAGTGTGTTTACCATAACGCAAATGATGGTTCTTCATGAGGGGCGTTCATTTCGAGGACACCGCGTGGTGTCATCGAATGAATCATTATTACGCAATCATGCGCTGCAGGTACAGAGCTACAACGAGGCGCAAGAAGATCCGTTCCGTTGGGCGCAACTTGTGGAGTGTTTCCTTTTATAAAAGTTGCATGTAAACTCGTCGGCATTACGCTTCCGCAATGACAGCACCGCAATGTGAGTCACTTACAGAAATTTCATTCGTATAAATATTCGCGACACTAGGAAAATCGCGACTCCCAGGTATACTCTCGGCTGCAAAAAATCTTTCCTTATTGCAATCAAAAGATACGATTTTAATTACGTTATTTATTTTAATGTGTGTGTGTGTGTGTGTGTGTGTGTGTGTGAGAGAGAGAGAGAGAGAGAGAGAGAGAGAGAGAGAGAGAGAGAGAGAGAGAGAGAGAGATTTTGTCGCGTGTAAACTTCGTTACCTTAACGATCATTTGATACACTATAGGCTTTGTCGATGTAATGGCAAAGTGCTAATTTGCGTTAATCTGTAGCGCATCTATTTGTTTCGATACTCAATTTAATAGGATCAGCGATACTTGGCAAGTGGTATTGATTCTGCAACGTTACGAAACAATTAAGGACATTAGTTCCGCGTGTAAGACGCGGAGCATTATACGATGCACGAAGGCAATTAAAATGCGATATAGAGTCGTTCGTTAATAATTCATGTACATCTTATTTATAGTGCGTTTTATGCGTGTAAATATATTGGTGTACACATTAGAAAACCTGTTCACCGATTATTTACTACCTTCCGATTATTTATTTCCTTCTGCGCTCGCATTTTGGAACTGGGGGGAGACGATTGTTAAATAACTAAACCGGCGCAAGCGGGAGAATTAACGAAAGTCAACACAATTTCTTTTTCGCATTAATACACGAATTCGCCCGCAATGCAGCGGAGAAAGGTTCGATGGCCCGAGCTGCAGCACGGGTTGGACCTACATACAAGGATTTCCCCTTGCGGTTCATTTTATGAGCGTTGATTAGACGCGCCTGTCAGGAATATCGCGCTATCGTAACTGCACTAGACGTTAATTATCTCGGACATCGTATTAATCATCGTTGCGTGATACGTTGCTAACGGACTCAGGACAGAATATATTCAACTGAAAGTAGAGACTTATTTGTGTGTGTGCTTGCCCGGTTAATTTGTCTCATTTTGTTTTGTGGCTTTCTTATGAAATGTAACTGAAACGATTAATATCATTCTTAAAAAAAAAAGAACTATTGGACGCGTATATGACATGTACAGTCTTATTTATTAATGCCAGAACCTGCATTTTTCTCATCATTTTTCTCATCTGCACAAATCACTGAGTTTTAGGCTGCATCATGTGTGTATTACCACAGACTTCTATAGAAGCTGTGTCAACTACAGCCTGAAAGATCGATGTGTAGATAGGAATAAAGATTACGAAAGTGTGAATCCTAATAAAATTGAGGTCCAGGCATATTAATGAATAAGACTGTACATTAAATTACTGTACGATATTTTCCTGAAGCCCACAGGTCTGACTAATATCGTGTGTACGGACATGTGACATTTGTCTTTCTGCTTTCATGTCGTAAAGTGATATTGATTGTTCTGGTTCCGAATAGATACGCGTCGACAAGTGTGAAAGAGTAGGAGTCTATTCGTATGAGAAAGATTGATCTAGAAAAGGCATTCGAGTGACAGCTGAATTCGCACTGAAACCGCTCAACTCATTTAAGCTTTCATTCCTAAACAGTTGCTGCCATTTTCGTTATTTTCTCCGCTCTCACATTAAAGCCGCATCTACAATGTGCTCTCTGCGTCTAGAAACATCCTTACATAAGCAAGTCAAAACGTCTAAAACATTTGTCGACACAGTATGATTGTACAATTTATCAACTTTCACAAATTTTTCAAACGTATTTATTGGCTACGAAATAGAATGCTTCTGGATGCAAAGGGCACATTGTAGATTAGATTTAAATACATGAAGCATACGTAAGCACCAGGGAATTATTTGCGTGAACAAAGATAAAACAAATAATAATTTTGACAAATACATAACTTCTTAATCGTTACAAAATTCTATCTTTCGTTTAGCCGTTCGTCATTATCGATAAAGGCAACCGACGCAGCAACCAAGATCTTTTCCCTGGTGCGTACTCTCTAAAAGTCAATCAGTGAATTCTCACTGAAAACAGTGAATAGTCACTGATTCGCACACTGAAAAAAATTTCTGGTTGAATATGGACGAATCAGATAATTCCTTTAGGATTTACCAGAATTCCTTTAGGATTTACCAGAATTTCCTGTAATCCTACAGAAATTCTGGTAAATCCTAAAGGAATTCTGGTAAATCCTAAACAGGAAATTCTGGTAAATCCTAAAGGAATTCTGGTAAATCCTAAAGGAATTATCTGATTCGTCCATATTCAACCAGAAATTTTTTTCAGTGCAGTTATAAGTATATTACAGCGGTATACTCGTAACTGTAAATCAGTGACTATTCATTGTTTTCAGTGATAATCCACTGATTGACGTTTAGA